GAATTTCTTGGGATTTTCGAATTTCAATTCTCTCGCCGCTCATTCTCTAGATTCACGGCTATGAAATCTGAATTTTGCTTGTTCAGATCCCAATTTTTTTCCAGATTTTTTCTGCGTCTTTTTGTATACAGTTTAGTGGAATTTAGGGCTTCCAAATTGAGATAATGATTGGTTTTTGGTTACTCCTATCATGCCTTTTATTCCCCAGATATTGTAATTGTTCATTTCAAATCTTAGATCTGAGGGTTGTGTTGATAGATAATTTTGCATAATCGCTTATGTAGGTTTACTGACCTCTTTTACATTTTTTTGTTTGTGTAAAATTATTAGATTATCAGTATTTTATCGGTTTGGAGGATTTTGTCGTCATCATCATGAAGTTCTTGGAGTACACTAATCTGGACAGGTTCAACCTTTTGTTATTTCTTACTGTTTTTGAATTATGAGAATCAGTTTCTTCTTTCTTTTTGGATTGTGAAAAATGTTTCTGATTCCAGATTGAATATTTTTCTGGGTCATCTTAATCTCGGGGAAAGAACTATCAAAGGTTGCCTTGAAGCCTATTCTTGTAAGCACTTTGTTTTGTGTTCTTGGTCAATTGTCTTCTGGGCTATGAGGAAAATACGCTTAAGCTTTATTATTCGTTTTCGATAGGTAAACATGCGGGAACTGATAAAAGATTGTCTCTTAGTTTGGAGAATGAGGTAATTTGATAATGTTTGCAGTTGACTTGTATCTAATTATTGCAAATCAATCATGTGTTTTTGAGTTAATCATTGAATGTGTACAGCTGCTACTTGTTGACCTAGTTGTTTTATTTATTTATCATGTCCCGTGAACTCAGATGCTCGATTATCTCGGGAAATCTTCTGACTCGGACTCTTCTTCACCTGTCGATCTTTTGTTAAGTAGATCAAGGTAAGAAATATAGTTTTACAGAACGTTTCACCTTTTTATAATAGTAGATATCCCTCTTACCTCTATATTCTGGTGCTTATTCCAGTCGAAAGGCTTTGATCTACTTGGTACTTACACTCTATCAGATGTATCCGGACTACGATTTCAGGTATATACGTGTTTGTAAATCTGAAAGGAAAAGTTATGCTTTTTTTTAGAGAGGGGGATTATGGGTAATGTCATTGTCAGCTTCTTGGGCGATATGGCAACCCACTATATAATCCCCCTTTAAATATATGTGGGAGTGTTGTCAGATGGTTTGACGAATGGTTCATTGAACTGCTCGCTGAGAGTTCAATTCTCTCCATTTCCCAAATCTAACTAAACCAGTTGTGTGAAGTTCAGTGAGGTGTCTGATTGAACATGATAAAGTAGCAGCTATGTATAACCCTGTCACTATCGCATTGTTTTTCTATTTTCTCGATTTCAGCGCTGTCAAAGCACATCAGTTTTTTTCGGAGGAAAGCTGGGACACGTTTAAGCAGATTTTTAACAACTATATGTTTGAAGCTTCTAAGGTATTCTAAGTGTTCACTATTTTCAGTTAGATGGGAATTGGAAAATTGCTTGATTTTACGAGGGAGAATCACTTTTCCCTTCTTCAATAATCCAATTCGACATTCCAGCTTGATTCAATATTATATGCAATTGATTGAAAATTTATGCACATGATATTTATACTCCAATGTGCTTCATAGGAATGGACGGAAAGGAATGAGGATGGTTCCTTGCTTGAGGTACTCTACAAGGCTCTTGATGAGGTAAGTTCCCTGCAATAAGGTACTCAAAAAGCTGGGCAATAGTAATGGAAACAACTAAATCATACAAATGTGATACAGGTTGTAAAACTAGCTGACTGTGAGATATATGTGTACAACCCAAATCCTAATGCTGATCCTTTCCTCGAGGAAGGAGCAATGTGAGTTACAACAACTTTCCTCTTTCTATTCAGAGATTACAGCCTGATTGTCAAAACTAAAAGTTATTTTTCCCCTCTTGTGTCAAAATTCAGATGGTCTTTCTGTTTCTTATTCTACAACCGAAAACTGAAGCGTGTTGCGGGTTTCCGTTTCTGCTGCATAAGGTTAGATGATTGCACCGTACCCAGTTGTCTGTTTCTTTCTTCTTTATCAAAAGTCTTTCCAACTCTAAAAATGTTTGTTGCAGTAACCTGGCAAATGATGCATTTCTCGGTGACAGTCCTCCATATGGAGAAGATGATGAGATCTTTGACGATATGGATATGTGATATCTCTGTATCTATATGCTGAGCTGCACAGTCTTTAGAAAATCTGTATATCATCAATGTTAGATGTTATGCTCTCTAGTCGCTAGTCTTGTGGAATCTGAATTCAAGTCCAAGGTTAAGCTCTTTGCTTTCCTTTATCTGTGTAGTTGACCTAATTATACTCTTTACCGTGTCATGTGCAATAAGCTTATCAACCTTTGTCGTAATCTAATGTACCAAAATTTGATTGAAGACACTAAATGTTGAGATTTGTGTTTATTTGCTTGCGTTTTTCCATTCACCAGTGGTCACCGCAGGAGCAGACTCCGGCATGAAAACGATGAAACCGGTTCATATCTCGAATAACAAGATCTCGTTCCACAATACTTGATATCACTTTCATAGCATTGTGGCAATCCGAGCATATCCTTAAATTCTTAATGATCAATATGCGATTTCTTGATGATGGCATTCGAACAAGCCCATATGCCAAAGCCAACCTCTCGCTGTGAACCCACAATCTCTTATCCTTTTCTTCATCGTTTATATCTAGCAGGACCGCATTCCGATCAGGAACATAACCGGCTCGCTTTGCTTTCATGTTAAGCCATTCCAGCATTCCATTTATGAGCTTCATATCCGGATGATGTGATAACATTCCCACACTGAAGTAATACACATTTCCTTGATGTTCTATCCAACTTAAACCAGGTTCCTTCTTTACACATTTTTCCTTCATGCTTCTCCTAATCGAAGCAACGTTTGCCCATTGTTTTGCACCTGCATACATGTTTGATAATAGAACGTACGTTGCCTCGTCCTTTGGATTGATCTTTAGTATTTCTTCAGCCGATCTCCTTGCAAATTCTACATTGTTTTGAACAATCGAGGCACTAAGCATTGCCCGCCAGATCATAACGCTAGGCTCATATGGAATCTCTTCAATCAGCTTCATTGCCTTCTCAAGCCGCCCTGATCTTCCCAAAAGCCTGACCATACACGTGTAATGTTCCAAAGATGGTTCAATACCATGATCTCTCATCGACTCAAAACAATCTTGACCTTCATCTATTAATCCAGCATTGCTGCAACCAGAAAGAACACCAAGAAACGTCAACCCATTTGGCTTGCAATCACAATCCTTCATACTGTCAAAGATTTTCAATGCCTCTCTACACAATCCATGTGTGGAATAGCCTGAGATCAACGCATTCCATGAAGCTACATCTTCCGTTTCCATCTCGTTGAACACAGATTGTGCGTCTTTGATATCACCACATTTTGCATACATATCTATCAACGAGTTTCTCACTGCAACTTTCTCGGCATTACTGGTTTTTATTGCCACCCCATGAATTTGGACACCTAGCTCCATGCTTGCCAAAGACGCACAAGCTCCAATACCACTTGAGCAAGTTACTTCAGTTACAGACACCTGATTTCTGAGCGCTTCACGAAACACGCTTAACGCTTCTTCTGACTCGCCTAGATTCTCATACCCGACAATGATTGTATTCCAGCTTACCTCATTTCTACTTGATAACTCAGAAAATAACTTCACAGCGTTATCCATATCCTCACATTTGGAGTAAACATCGATAAGAGCGTTTGAGACATAGACATCTAAATTGAACCCAGCTTTGATCACAAGACCATGAATTTGCTTGCCTAAGCCAGAACACTTTCCGATGGCACACACATTCAAAATACTGGTAAAAGTAAACTCGTTAGGGGCAACAAAAGCTTGTCTCATTCGGATAAACAGATCAACCGCCTCATCGCAAAAACCATTTTGACCAAAACGAGCAATCATAAAACTCCAAGGTATCACATCATTCTTTGGCATCTCATTGAATACTTTGAGAGCATCAGACATGTCTCCAAGCTGCGCATACAACTGAAGCAAAGCAACACCCACATGAAGATCAAACTCGTAACACGTTTTTAGGATTCGTCCATGAACACCCTTGGCGAAATCAAAAGCACCTAGCCCAATGCTAGCCTTAAGCGCCATAGCAAAGGTGTAGTTGTTGGGCATGAAACCAGCCATCCCCATACGAGATAGCAGTTCAAGAGAATCCTCGAAATGCCCATTCTCCACATAGCAAGATACAATTCCGGTCCAAGCAACAATGTCCTTACACAAAATCCCTTCAAAAACACTTCTTGCACTATCAAAAAAACCACAGACGGAGTAAGCATTGATAAGCGCAGCTCCAACAAAAGCATCAGAACAAAACCCGAGCTTAACAATTGAAGAATGCAACCACCAACCAATCTCAGCTTTGTCCAAGTTAACGAACCACTTCAAGAAGGAAGTGAAGACGTGTGGATTAAGCTCATGACCTTCTCGAAGCAACCTGATATACAAACCAACGGGATCTTCAGAGACAAACCCTCGACTAAGAGTGACATACGAGATATTGTTTCTCTTAGGCATTTCGTCGAACAGCTTCAACGCATCTGACGCAAACCCAGCTTTGACATAAGCGTTGAGTAGAATGTTCGTAGCGAAAAGGTCCAAGCAACTGCCTTTCTTCACAATATCGCAGTGAATAGCTTTTGCTGAAATTGGGTCGTTCTGCTCAATGCAGCGACCGAGCATAGTGCCGTAAACATGAGAGTCTAAGCCTGGGACTAGCGAATCCGCCCATTTCAATGCTGATTCGGTGGTCTGAACAGAAAACCCACATTGTCGAACGAGTTTACATTGCATGAATCTTCGACTCTCCGCCAAACTGAATGTTCTTAGGAACCCGATCATATGCGTTGAGAGGAGAGAAGAAGAGTAAGAAGATTGTCCAAATTCAAACGACCAAATATTTATTTCTAGTAAAAACCAAATTTAGAAATCCAATTTTAAATATGGACCGGCCCAAAAGATGTCAGTGGTGACCCATTAGGCCCAAGTATTCAAACTAGGGTTTCTGTGAGTCTTGGCCTATAAAAGAAAAGCTTTTAGCTGCTTACTAGAATACAGACGCAAATTTCTCAGATCTCTCTGTTTAGGTTTCTCATCTTGAATTTCATTCTTTATTTTGGTTTTCTATGTTTGGGGTTTGAATATTGAATATCGAAACGAGTATTGCTTCGTCTTTTTTGGGATTTTGTTTTTCTGTATCTATTTATTCAAATTCGATTGAAAATTGATTGATGAATCGGAGCAGATGATGATTTTTTTTGGCACTACAACGGTGCTTACCTATTAACCATGCGGATTATATAAATCGAGCTTTTTAAAACTGATGCTCCGAATTCTTCAATGCTTTTTGTTTATTCTTCTATTGAATATCGGGAATTTGTGTAAATCTTGTTCAATTTAACAGATTGAGTTGCGTTCTGATTGATTTCAGTATTAAAATGATTTTTCATTTAGTTTTTTTTTTTCTCATAGAATTAGTCATAATCTGTATCTAAGAATGTTTTGATGCTTAATTTTGATTAATTATGTGATTGAAGATAAGTTGAATTTTTAAACTCATTTTTTGTGTTATAACCACTTTTGAATTGTTTCGATCTAACGCTACTTAATTCTAATGTTGGTCCTTTTGCCCTGAACCTTTTGAATTTTGTAAACTTTTTTGGTACTATGAACTACTCTAAACTAAGAGTAACGACATAACCAAAAATAAATAGTACTTTTATGTATATATACCAACTAGTTTCGGGCAAATGAAGTAATCAGTTTGAGATTGATCATTCATATTCTTCAAAGACCTTTATTGTCTCAATCCACATGATTTGATCTATGAAATATTTGCCAAAATGCAAAGTAGCTACGTTGCACAATATGCAACTTTGTTACGTTATAACAATAGATGATCGTCACAGATCATGATGATCTAAGTTTCAAGTACTTATGGACACTGATATACAAATTCTTGGTAGGTTTGAGCATTCTGTTTTTGGATCGGTTTATTTTGTGAATTTCGGTTATACAAATAATAGAACCGAATGTAAACCGAGTCTTTTAAGGGGTTAGTGGTTACGAATGGAATATAAAAATTTCCGATCGTTTTTTTGTATATTCGGGTTTCAGGTGTTCAGTTGGATGGTTATTTCGGTAACTTTGGTTTACTTTCGGTTATTTATGTCAAATTCACTGATTTTGGTTTTCCATCGGTTTAGTTTTGATGGATTTTCGGTTTAATTTTGATGAACCTTAAAGGTAATAATCAGGAAGATGAATCCAAACATTACGCTTGAGCAGGAAAGAAAAAAATAAAAATAAACCTAACCACACTCACTCTATACAAAGTAAACACAAATATTTACGACACAAACAATACTTGTTATAACATACATTAAACATTTACTAAAAAAGTCTCGCGTATGCACAAGATATTTTTCATATCTTGGTGTAAATATCATATCAATAATAGCATAAGATTAGGTTCAAAAAAAATATATATATAATTGCAAAAGATATTTTGGTTTCAATTGCAAAAACACAATAAAATGTGGTACACGTATTGGGCATTGTTATTGTTTCTTTAATCCGGACCAGCCATGCTATGTTAATGGTGGTGATGGATACTATTCAATGAAAGCGGTAAATGGCCAAAAACAAGACACACAAAGTACGATCACTTTATCATTCTCATGTATTTTCTTCCAAATTCACAATTCCAACAAACTCGTGCTATAAGACTCAGAAAGACATTTATAACGGCTCCTATTGGTGAAGAGATTTTGAGCAGTTGTGAGGAAATTTGTTAAGCGAAGGCCGCTAAAAATGACAGAATAGAAAAGCCGGTTGAGTTAAAATGAATAGTTAAAAAGTAATTATGATTGGTTAGAAGCGGTTGAGTAGTAAATGTTTTTTACAAAAAATTATCTAAATATACTTTTAAATATAAATAATGATTTTAAAACTTTAGTTTGCTTTTAATACATTTTTATAGTAAATAATATATATACAATAATATTTTGAAAAATGAAATACAAAATATTTTAATTTAAAAAAAAACAAATTAACATCCGTTTGGTAAACAAGGCTATTGTAAACACACTTATTTTCGAACGGTTCATAAACGCTTCGTTTGAGCATCTAAACCTCGTTTCTAACCATCTATTTCAACTGTCCGTTTTAACCGCTCGTTTTGAACGTTCGTCCGACTGATAACAAATGAGCGATTGAACCACAACACCTTTTCATAAAAGATAACCAATCTAAGCCGTTAGTTGGCAAGAATTGACCATATTATATAACTAGTCGACACTCAAACGTGTTTCATTTTCTTAATATTCCATTACAATACATATCTTATTATATGACGGCAAACTATTCAAACCAAACAATATAATCAAATACGTAAGTTAAAAGATGCTAATGGCCTAATCGGCGCATTTTTTTTTGTAGTACACAGACGGAAGCTTCATGCGAAGCCAAGTGACATTTTCATTTTCTCTTCCAATATTTTAAAAATCAACAAATGTAATGACAAATAAGCTTGGTTTGGGCATGTCAACGGTGTAGTGGAATAAGGGAGTAGTTGAACGATCAACTAGCAGAAATTACTGAACAACATAAAAATTTAAGTGAAATGATTTGAAAAACTTGTTTTACTAGATTAATAGCGTTTGATCTTTCCACTATTAAGACGTTCATAATATATATATATAACGGAATCACCTTCGAACACCGTTTAGAAATTTCAATGAATATTCAGAACAATAAAAAATAACAGAGGTGGTGTTCATTTACGTGTCAGGACGCAATATCTAGATGCAGCATCTATACACAGTACCTAGACGCAGCATCCATATGATGTTTGTTTGTGTTTTTTTCTTTTTACGTCCAGAAATTGTATTTAGAAACAAATAAGTTCGTTTGGTATTTTTGTACTTAGATTTGGATGCATTTAATATAAAATGACCAAAAAATTTTTATTTTGTGTTAAGAGTTTAACACTATTATTAATGATTTAGATTATAATTATAACTAAATAATTATCAAATTAATTTTTTGAATAAAATTCTAATAAGTATTATCTCACA